AGAGGAGTGCATACACAATAAATAAAACCAACTGAACACATGAAAAAAATTATCCTAATATACAGGTGAAACTCGAAAAATTAGAATATCGTGCAAAAGTTAATTTATTTCAGTAATGCAACTTAAAAGGTGAAACTAATATATGAGATAGACTCATTACATGCAAAGCAAGATAGTTCAAGCCGTGATTTGTCATAATTGTGATGATTATGGCTTACAGCTCATGAAAACCCCAAATCCACAATCTCAGAAAATTAGAATATTACATGCAATCAATAAAACAAGGATTGTACATAGAACAATATCGGACCTCTGAAATTATAAGCATGCATATGTACTCAGTACTTGGTTTGGGCCCCTTTTGCAGCAATTACTGCCTCAATGCGGTGTGCCATGGAAGCTATCAGCCTGTGGCACTGCTGAGGTGTTATGGAAGACCAGGATGCTTCATTAGCGGCCTTCAGCTCTTCTGCATTGTTTGGTCTCATGCCTCTCATCTTTCTCTTGGTAATGCCCCATCAATGGGGTTCAGGTCAGGCGAGTTTGCTGGCCAATCAAGCACAGTTATCCCACGGTCATTGAACCAGGTTTTGGTGCTTTTGGCAGTGTGGGCAGGTGCCAAGTCCTGCTGGAAAATGAAGTCAGCATCCCCATAAAGCTTGTCTGCGGAAGGAAGCATGAAGTGCTCCAAAATCTCCTGGTAGACGGCTGCGTTGACCCTGGACTTAATGAAGCACAGTGGACCAACACCAGCAGATGACATGGCTCCCCAAATCAACACAGACTGTGGAAACTTCACACTGGACTTCAAGCATCTTGCAGTGTGTGCCTCTCCATTCTTCCTCCATACTCTGGGTCCTTGGTTTCCAAATGAGATACAAAAGTTGCTCTCATCAGAAAAGAGGACTTTGGACCACTGAGCAACAGACCAGGTTTGTTTTTCTTTAGCCCAGGTAAGATGCTTCTGACGTTGTTTGTTGTTCAGGAGTGGCTTGACAAGAGGAATACGACATTTGAAGCCCATGTCCATGATCTGTCTGTGCGTGGTGGCTCTTGATGCACTGACTCCAGCCTCAATCCACTCCTTGTGAAAGTCCCCAACACTTTTGAATAGCCTTTTCCTGAAAATCCTCTCCAGGCTGCGGTCATCCCTGCTGCTTGTGCACCTTTTTCTTCCACGCTTTTCCCTTCCACATAACTGTCTATTAATGTGCATTGATACAGCACTTTGGGAACATCCAACTTCTTTTGCAATTACCTTTCGAGGCTTTCCCTTTGTCAATGATGGTTTTCTGCACAACTGTCAGGTCAGCAGTCTTTCCCATGATTGTGATTCCTACTGAACCCGACTGAGAGACCATTTAAAGGCTCAGGAACCCTTTGCCGGTGTTATGGCTTAATTAGCTGATTAGAGGTACACTTTGAGCCTAGAATATTGCACCTTTTCACAATATTCAAATATTCTGAGATTGTGGATTTGGGGTTTTCATGAGCTGTAAGCCATAATCATCACAATTAGGACAAATCACGGCTTGAACTATCTTGCTTTGCATGTAATGAATCTATCTCATATATTAGTTTCACCTTTTAAGTTGTATTACTAAAATAAATGAACTTTTGCACAATATTCTAATTTTTCGAGTTTCACCTGTAAGTTATGACCTTGTAGGATCTGAATTGAAGACTGCAAGGTATCGGTGTTTACAATGCAAACACTGTCCCAATGGTACTGCCATCTATAAAATCCCCCAAAAAGCTTTTTTTCATAGTGAAATAACAAAGGAAACTTGTAAAATTATCTTTATGTTCTTCTTAATCAGGGCCTGCATAGGCTGTGACCTTAGAAGGGGCAAAGGGGCAGCCCATGGCCTTTTTAATGATAATGATTATGATTTGACATTTACAAATAAAACAGTTGTCTAACAGCATGCCAAGAAATTATGATAAGTAAATCTTACCTTAATTTTGCCTTTGCTGACCACCTTCTGAAAATAAAAAGTTAACTGGTTGTCATGCATATCCACTGATTACAGTCATATTTAATCTCCCCTCTTTATACATACATTTGCAGATCAAGGGTTTGCCCTGACCTAGCATGTTGCATTCTTGTGCGGTCACACACTGTATCTGAATGGTAATTATACAATGCCGCTATGCCACTACCAAATATCTAGAACAAGTACACTTATTGTGACAACTGTACAAAGAAAAAAATTATCTACCAACCCTGTTTCCAGTTTTGCCCTTTTTGGCTTCAAAATATGCCCCTTTTACATGCAAAGTTTAACCCTTTGAGGACCAAGGGACGTATTTGTCCCATGTTTGTAATTGCTTGTATCATCTGATTAATTTCTTAAAACTCTTTTTTTTTTTTTTTTGGTTTGAGTCAAAATATTAGTTCTTATCAACAAACAACAAATGGATCTAGCTTTTTGTCAATTATTTCATGAAATGGCTTAGTTGCAGCAACTGAAGTGTACAAACTTTAAAAACAAAAAAATTGATTCTTTTGGCGTTCCAAAACCTTACGGTCCTCACAGGGTTAAGCAGAACTCCGTGGCATCTGAGCACAAAACAAAAACACAGTTTAATTGATGTTTAATATTCAAAGCAACCTCACCCACCCATCCATGTTCCCATGCTTTATTTTGCTGAGAAATCATGTTGTAAATTACCCCTTTAGCATTTCTGGCCGTGGCCATGTTGAGCAAGAGCAGGTGATTTGTATATCATTTACATTCTGGAATCCATCTGCCCTTAGCTCAGGCATTCAGGCATGAAGGTGTGCTTAGCTGAGAAAAAATCCTCCTCCCCTCAAGAAGTCTCCTGGCATAATTTGCCTAGACAAGAAACCAGGAATTAACTGAAGAAACAAAAACAATTGTTTAAAACAAGTAACTATGATATATAGTACAGTACTTTCTTATCCATTTACTAATGCGAGCTGCATAAGGATTTAAAATAGTCAATGTGGATTGAGAGAGTGAAGTTCCACTTTAAATATCACTTATCCATTGCTCACTATATACTAAGAGAAAAGAAAATGAATTATTATTATTATGCAGTATTTATATAGCGTCAAACGTTTGCTCAATGCTGTACATTATAATGGGAGACAGTACACGAGACAGTACAGTAACAATACAATGAGGGGTTCGAGGGCCCTGCTCCTTGGAGCTTACAATCTAGGAGGGAGGGGAGAGTGGTACAGGAGGAAATAGCTCTGGGGGATGGAGTGGTGGGAAGAGCGGAGGAGATCAGCAATTAGGTCAGGGTAGGCTTCTCTGAAGAGATGGGTTTTCAGGGTGAGGAGGGAAGGTGACAGTCTTACGGATTGGGGTAGTGAGTTCCAGAGGATGGGGGAGGCCCTGGAGAAGTCTTGGAGACGGGCATGGGAGGAGGAGACCAGGGAACTGGAGAGTAGGAGGTCTTGTGAGGAGCGGAGAGTGCGTTTTGGGTGGTATTTGGATATCAGGTCGGTGATGTAGTTTGGGGCAGTGTTATGAACAGCTTTGTACGTCAATGTTAATATTTTAAATTTTATGCGTTGGGCAATCGGAAGCCAGTGGCGGGATTGGCAGAGGGGGGAGGCGGATACGGAGTGGTTAGTAAGGTGGATGAGTCTGGCCGCAGAATTCAGGATAGACTTAAGCGGGGATAGCCTGTGTTGGGGTAGGCGGCGAGGAGGGAGTTGCAGTAGTCAAGTCGTGATATGATAAGGGAGTAAATTAGTTGCTTTGTGGTTTCTGGAGTTAGGAATGGACGTATTTTGGAGATGTTGCGGAGGTGGAGTCTGCATGAATTTGTCAACGATTGGATCTGGGGCTGGAAAGACAGATTGGAATCTAGAATGACACCTAGTACTCTGGCTTGCGGGGTGGGGCTGATGACGACATTGTTGGTCGTGACGGAGAGGTCGGGGGGGGGGGGGGGCACGGGCTGGGGGGAAAACTAGGAGCTCGGTTTTGGCAAGGTTTAATTTGAGGAAGTGGAGTGACATCCAGTCTGATATGTCGTTCAGAAGGCTAGTGATTCGGGCGGAGACTGAAGGGGTGAGGCGAGGGGTAGAGAGATAGATTTGAGTGTCATCGGCATAGAGGTGGTACTTGAAGCCGTGGGAGTGTATCAGTTGACCAAGGGAGGAGGTGTAGATGAATAGTATGCATCACCAATGCCCTGCAAATTGTCATAGTTTCCAGAAATTTCCCAGGCTGTAACCAGCTGAGTATCATGCGTTTTCCAGAAATGTGTGAAAGAAATGTGTTACTATCAGGCAAGACTATTGTTAGACGTTCTATGAATGTCACTGAATTAAAGCAATGTGTGAAAATAATAAAAAACAGTGTTGTTAGCTGTAAATATTCTAATGTTAAAATCACTCAGCAGTTTGATTGCATAAAAATATTTGCAGTAAATTAGAACTCAACAAGTACATGATACATGTAGTTCAAAAACTTGAGGTAGACTTTGACACGGGCATTCTTTTGTTTCAGCACCTTCTGGTGCAATTTGGCAAATGAATCTAATTGGTCACAGGGGTGTCCAAACTGGCCCTCCAGCTCTTGAAGTACTACAAGTCCCATCATGCCTCTGGGTGTCTTGCCTGTGGATGTCAGAGTCTTGCAAGGCCTCATGGGACTTGTAGTTCCTCAACACCTGGAGGGCCATAGTTTGGAGACCCCTAACAGATTATCACTAAATCCAGCTATGGGATGGGAAACAGCCAACCTCCCTAAAGCAGAAATACCGCTATAGGGCGGCACAGGTGCGCAAAATCACATATACTTTGCATTTATGGGTAGGGGTCGCGCATGCCCTACCTGTGCCGCTATTTGCGTCCACGGCTGTCAATCACCGGATCCCGGCTGGTGATACTCGCCGGTGCCCTGTGATTAACGAGGATCTCTGATAGGGGAGGAGAACTGTTTTGTTTACTAACAGTTCTCCTCCCTGTCAGCTCGGGCACAGCACAGCCATCCAGAGCAGTGTGATTACAGTCAAGCACACAGACACAGCCCCATAGTAAAACATACCAAGCACACAGTTAACCCTTTGATCGCCCTTATATTAAACCCCTTCCTGCCCAGTGCCATTAGTACAGTGTCAGTGCTTATTTTTAGCACTGATCACTGTATTGGTGTCACTGGGGATGTCAGGGACACCAAGTCAGTTTGCCTCAGTGTCAAAATGTCTGCTGCAGTCCCACTATAAGTCGCTGATCACCGCCATTACTAGTAAAATTTAAAAAAAAAATTCCAGTATATATACCGCCTTTTTTAAACACTATAACTTTCATTTAATTAATTTACACATATTGGGATTTTTTTTTTTAGCAAAAACATGTAGCAGTATACATTTTTGTCCTAAATTTGTCCTAAATTTGACAAAATTTGATTTTTAAATTTTTTTACTGGATATGTTTAATAGCAAAAAGTAAAAAATATTGTTTTTTTTTTTTTTTGTAAAATTGTCCGTCTTTTTTATAGCGCAAAAAAAAAAAAAAAAAAAAACACATAGGCAATCAAATACCAATGAAAGAAAGTTCAATTCGTGGGGAAAAAAGGACATAAATTTAATTTGGATGCAGCGTTGCATGACCGCACAATTTGTCAGTTAAAGTAATGCAGCTTCGTAACGCAAAAAATGGCCTGGTCAGGAAGGGGGTAAATCCTCAGGAGGGCAAGTGGTTAACCACTAGCCTACGGGGCACTTATACCCCCTTCCTGCCCAGGCCATGCAACACTGTACCCATATGAAATTTTTATCATTTCTTTGTGACAGAGCTTTCTTTTGGTGGTATTTAATCACCTCGGGGTTTTTTATTTTTTTCTTAAACAAATCAAAAACCACTGAAAATGTTGAAAAAAAAAAGTTTTTTCTTAGTTTTTGTTATAAAATTTTGTAAATAAGTGATTTTTCTCCTTCACTGATGTGCGCTAATGAGGCTGCAGTGATGGGCACTGATAGGCTGCACTGATGGACACTGATAGATGGCACTGATGAGGAAGCACTGGTAGGTGGCACTGATGGGCATTGGCAGGCATCACTGATGGGCACTGATGGACACTGATAGGTGGCGCTGATGGGCACTGATGAGGAGGCACTGGTAGGTGGCACTGATGGGCATTGGCAGGCATCACTGATGGGCACTGAAAGGCAGCACTGATATATGGCACTGATAGGCAGCATTGATAGGTAGCACTGATAGGCAGCACTTACGGGCACTGATAGGCGGCACTGATGCACACTGATAGGCGCCACTGAGTGGCACTGATTGGCAGCACTGATAGTCGACACTAATTGGCAGCACTGATAGGCGGCACTGATAGACGGCACTGACTGGCACTGATAGATGGCACTGATGGGCACTGGTTGGTGGCACTGATGGGCATTGGCAAACTGATGGGCACTGAAAGGCAGCACTGATATATGGCACTGATAGGCAGCATTGATAGGTGGCACTGATAGGCGGCACTGATAGGCAGCACTGACGGGCACTGATAGGCGGCACTGATGCACACTGATAGTCGCCACTGAGTGTCACTGATTGGCAGCACTGATAGGCGGCACTAATTGGCAGCACTGATATGCGGCACTGACTGGCACTGATAGGCGGCACTGACTGGCACTGATAGGTGGCACTGATGGGCACTGGTAGGTGGCACTGATGGGCATTGGCAGGTATCACTGATGGACACTGAAAGGCAGCATTGATAGACGGCACTGATAGGCAGCACTGATGCACATTGATAGGCGGCACTGATTGGCAGCACTGATAGGTGGCACTGATTGGCACTGATAGGCGGCACTGATTGGCAGCACTGATGGGTGACACTGAAAGGCAGCTCAGTTGGGCACTGATATGTGGCATTAATGTGCACTGGTAGGCACTGATATGTAGCATTGATGTGCACTGGTAGGCACTGATATGTGGCATTGATGTGCACTGGTAGGCACTGATATGTGGCATTGATGTGCACTGGTAGGCACTGATATGTGGCATTGATGTGGCAATGGCAGGTGGCATGTATGAGCACTGAGAGCTGGCACTGATGGACACTGACAGGTGGCGCTGCTGGGGTTACACAGATCATCAGAGCACACTGATCATCAGTGCTCTGATGATCTGTGTACATGTCCCCTCAGAGGAATGCCGATTACCGGCTGTCAGCGGCGATAACCGGCATTTCACTGTTTACATGTGATCAGCTGTGATTGGACACAGCTGATCACATGACCGAGCCGACATCTTTGGCTCTTTCCATTGATCGTTGATCCGCTGTGTCCCAGGGACACAGCGCACCTCCGATCGCCATGCTGCGCGCTCCTGGAGCCGCGCATGCGCGGTGAGAATGGGCGGTCATTGTATGACGTCCTCATAGAACAAGAGAACCGCCTTGCGCCCGTCATTGTACTATATGGCGGGCGGGCGGGAGGCGGTTAAATAAGGGCAGCTGAAGGTGAAATTCTAGCAGGATAAAAGGACATCTTCAGCAGATAGAGTATTACTGTTTGGACCTATAGTGCACTTTGATTTAACAACAACAAAAGTTGAGTACATAGATAAGAAGTATAGTAAGCTGCCCAGGTATAGGTAGGGGTTCAGGTTGCTAACTCCTGGTGTTCATGGCTCTGCCCGTTTGTGGTGGGCTTTATATACAAAGGGAGGCAGCAGATCGGGGCTTTTTGTGCCTTCCACATGGGAACTCACAGGGAGGGATGCTGCAAGATGTAACCCTGCAATGAGCATGTGATCTCCCTATTGGAGTACCCAGCAAGGGTGTTGGAAATGGAATATGAATCTTATAAAATGGTGTCTTCTTTCTCAGAGGTAGGACATCGGCATCATAAATTAGAATGAGCTGGAACTGTGTATGCAAGGGACTGGGAGAGATTGTGCCACATTCATTCTGCATTTATAAGAAGCTTAAGTAAATGTCCTCAAAGTCAATAAATGATTGGTCTGAAGTTCCTACAAAGGGGTGTATACAGGGCGTATAAAACAACAAGGGGTTACAACAGGGGATGAATACTACCAAGGGTTAACAAGTCGTGAATGGTGAAGAGAGAGACCATTCTGCTGCTGCCATGAGTAGCCAGAGGAGTGTTCGGTGCTAAAGCTGCCAGCCAGGGAGTGTACATTGTGACTTGGCAGGGACGATGGAGTGCTTCAGTAGCAAGGGGGTTTCTGTACGCAATCCCCTCCCTAGCCCCATAACTGGGAGCAGAACCGTGGCGTGGAGCCCCTATGTATTTAGCCTGTATGTCACGCAGGAGAATATGAGAGAGGATCCTCAGAAGCACAGAGCATAGCAAGCTTAAGCTGTGTAAAGCTAAAGAAAGGTCTCATATATGTCACAGGGAGTGAGGTGACATAAAAGCTAGGCTGGTAGTAGGATACAGGCGCCGCTGTAAGAAAGTATTGTACCATGTAAGGATGTTTCAGTACAATTAGTCAAGTGTAATGCCACTGTGAAGTGGATGAGACATGAAGAGTTAATTGTGCCGCGAAGCTGTGCTCACTTTGGAGTGCCACGTAAGGCTAGCCTCACACCTATGCAATTTGCATTTGATGCGTTTCTGCAGTGCGTTTTTTTTTCAACTTGATGGGCAGAATAAAATGCAAAACGCATTACATGCTTTTCTGCAGTATCTCCACTGAAGTCTATAGAACCAAAAATGCAATGTTTTGCATTTAAAAAAAGTCCCTGATCCTTTCCAAAAAACGCACCGGGTGAAAACGCAGAGATGAGAACCTGTCCCATAGGAAATCATGTTAAATGAACTGTTTATTTGTTTCCAAAAAATGCATAAGTTTGAACTGAGACCTAATGCAGATTTCTCATGACTGCAGCTTCCATCTGCTTAGTTGGAAATTACCAAGTAAAGTTTCCACGGTTCTAGCCTGGGTTCATATACATGCAGCTCCCCGTATATCGCATGTGATATGCACATGAACCGCACCACATTCCTGTGCAAATCACATGCAATTTGTGTGCGGTGCGTTCGGAGCCATACATTTTGTATGGGTCTATTCACACCGCATTCGCACCAAAAATGTGCAGAACCCTTTTTTGGGTCCGCACTAGAATCAGATTGCATAAATATTCACACCTATGCAATCCGATTCTTCACATCGCTCCGCGTTTTGCGGACCACATTCAGGGTGTTGTTAACATATACACCGCAGCAGTTCACATGAACGGGGTGCGATTCTGATGCGGTGCGGAATTCTCACTGAAAACACTGCAAATTCCACACCGCATCAGTGTGAACCAAGGCTTAGTGTGCCTTACGCCCATGCCCACAGGCTGAGCAGAAAAAAGAACCTAACAGATTCCTCAATCCATGAATGGACAATTTAATTTTGACAACTGGCACCGGCTGATATCAGAGTACTCAAACAGCGACTGCGTTTGATTGTACCAGTAGCTGTCTGAATACCAGAATAGTGACTCCAACAGACAAAATGTGGCCACTGTTCAGCTTAGAATTTTCCACCTAGCTCAGTCGATTATATTGGCTTTTGTTGGGCAGGGTGGTGACAACAACAAGGCCACCAATAGCTCCAATTGCAGCAGATTCAACAGGAATCGAACAAAATTGAGCCTTGTGTGACTAGCGCAAAGCTATTGTGTCCTGTATAATAATATAGAAGGTTCTCTCTAAAGAGTCTGACCTCATGAACCAATACTGTAGCAATAGTAGCAGGGCACCTTTAGACAGAAGCATACTTCATTGCTATTCCTGGCTGGAACATAGCTCAGCTCCTAGGTGAAAGTATAAACATGCTTAAAACGTCCTTCAAAATGAAAGGAAGACAAATTATATTTGAAGTGCATGGTTGCCGACCATATTTACGTGTCTATTTCCAACTGTTCTTTAACCTCTTCCATACAGGACACTTTTACCCCCTTCCCTCTCAGGCCAATTTTCAGGTTTTAGCGCTCGCACAGTTTGAATGACAATTGTGCGGTCATACAACATTGTACCCAAACTAAAATTTTATCATTTTCTTCACACAACTAGAGCTTTCTTTTGGTGGTATTTAATCACCACCGGGGTTTTTATTTTTGCTAAATTAACAAAATAAAATAAAAATTTTGGAAAAAAAAAAAAAGTTTTTCTTTGTTTCTGTTATAAAAGTTTGCAAATAAATAATTGTTCTTCATAAATTTAGGCAAAAATGTGTTTTACTACATGTCTTTGGTGAAAATAAGCCAAACTAGTATTTATTATTTAGTCTGTAGGAATGTTATAGAGTTCACAAACTTTGGGATATATCTGAATATTGATCAATCCTGAAGTACTGACGGCCAATGTCATTTCTTGAGGTCCAAGAATGTCAGAACAGTACAGATATCCCCCAAATGACCTTTTTTTGCAAAGTAGACAGTGCAGTACAGCATCATCATATAACTGGTATGGCGGTGATCAGGGACACTGACTGGTAAAAGTAGGAAAAAAAAATTGATAATTTTTTTAAAATTGTTTTTTTATTTTTGTATTTTTTTTTTATTACATTTATTTTCTCTTTTTTTAAGATTTTTTTTTCATATTTCACTATGACCAAAGTAGTATAATGTTACCTTAGTAACATTGTACTACTTTGGGGAAGTGATCTATCTATCTATATATATATATATATATATATATATATATATATATATATATATATTTATTTTTTTTTTTTACACAATTTGCTTATAGCAAAGAATTTCTTTGCTATAAGCAATCATTTACCTGAATGAAATCGATTCATTCAGGATTTTTTTTTTTCTTAACTGTGATTTGGCCACAGCTAATCACATGACACAGCTGGGCTGTGATTGGCCCAGCTTGTGCATGTGATCGCTGTGACCATTCACAGCTAGCCACACTTGTATACAATGGATGGCATGATAGGAAGCCATTCATTGTATACAACTGTCATGTGCCCTGCTGTAATTGGTCACAGCAGGTCACATGGTACTTGCAACGGGGCCGATACACAGATCTGTCATTGGCCGTGTCCGAGGTACACAGCCGGTGACAGATCGCGCCGCTGCACGGCTCTGCTGGCATGCAACTTGCGCATGCCTGAAAGGACGCATATGGCGTCCACCCGGAGGGACGAGGGTTTTTGCCAGGCTGCCATTCGGCCATAGGCCGGGCGGGAACTGGTTAAGGTCCCATGCCCAGTGGACATATTTAACACTGCTGTTAGGGGCATCTGGCATTTTGTTCTTCCTCTAAACCTCCTTACGTGTTAGCCATGCCCGCGCGTCCAGAAGCAGCAACGTTTTGGCAGAAAAAACACTTGACATGTGTAAATGTGCATTAACGTTAGACTCGTTAAGCGCGTGAGCGTTACTTCATTTCAATGGCCAAGCACACCTAAATGTTTATAAGCGTCAAGTATTTTTCTGCCAAAAATGCTGCTGTCAGGAGGAAGGACATCTAGCGGCAAAATATTTTTTCATGCTACTGTAGTGTCTACATGACTTGCCCTGAAGAAAATTGACTTTTAATAAATTTAATGTCACTTTGTTTAGCCATAGAAAAAAGGATTCACTATATCTTTGGTGAGCTACCTTACCTGTAATGAAGTGTGTACCACATCATGCAGGCAGTTGGATCCTGTGGAAACCTTTATAGCAGAGATGCCATGTCCTCCTCCTACTGCTGAACTTCTAGATCTGTGGGGGTTAACTGCTATGGGGCTTCTGCGAAGTTGCTGTGAAAAAGTTCCTGATGAAGACCTTTTCCCCTTCTCTCTCCTCCTCCATTGAGAAATGTTCTTTTATTTCTTTCTCCACCTGTAACACAGCCTGTGAATAGGGACGAGAATCCCGTGACTCAACAGATTCTTCCTCATTTACAGAACAGTATTTTAATTAAACAGACTTTTGTAGAACTCTGTTAGAATGATTGCCATCCCCCTGACCCTGACAATATTTTATTATTCACTGCCTGCAAATGGATCTACCTGTACACCCTTTGGTTTCAGTGGTTCTAGTAGGATCATGGTTGCAGCTGCAGCAGTGTTCCTGGTGAATAATGCTCTATACTGTAAAAATGATTCAGAACGGCTACACAATCACTGGATCACTTTTACGGGTGGCGGGAGGTGGTTCAACCTTTCCAGGTTCTTCTGTTTCACTGGGGAGTCTGAGACTGAAATGGGTGATTGGGTTGGCACACCATAGAGATGAAGGAGGAACGTCCATTCCCCACTATTCTCTAGGGGGGTTGATTTACTAAAACTGGAACACCAAGATTCTGGTACAGCT